TCTTATTTTTGTTGGGTAAAATTTTTTCTTAGCTCCCCTTACAGTTATATAATCCAATAACTAGATGACCCAATAAGCCTTCCTCACAATTTTAAGTAACTCTCTTTAGCCACCTGTCAGCTATATCTCTCAATGGGTTGAATTCATACAGGTTATCATATCATTTTTAGTTAAATTACTTTTTGCACCCTCCTTTCAGTTTTTCTTACACTTTTTAAGAAACCTACCTAAGCCTTCTTACAATTTCCAAACAACTCATCTGTACAACGCTTTAATGTTTGTTCTAGCCCTTTTCAGCCACCTTTCACCATTCCCTTAATAATTAATTCATCTATATAATTTGTTAACTTATTTTCGCACCACCCTTAAGGTAGTGCTATGGCATGCTGGTTTTTTTTCTCTAAAATTTTTAATAAGCTTAATAACTGCATTATTTCGTATAAACGTAACAATTATTCCAAATTTTTAATTAGGCTTATGTGGAGATGAGCGTTTACAAACATTGTTTAGAAATTCAATCGAGAAATTTATATGAATGTCACATTCAGATTTATCAACACTCTTGGACATAAAGTGGACATTCATACCTCTTCGAGCGCCGCACTTTGGCGGCACATGGGAGTCAGCAGTCAAGTGGTAGCAGAGCGTGGTTAAAGTCAAGCACCACTTCAAGAGGGTGGTCGGAACATCAACCTTCACCTTTGAAGAATTGGCAACTTTATGTGCCAAGATAGAGGCCTGCTTGAACTCACGCCCTCTTTGTCCCCTCAGCTCCGACGAAGCTTCAGCTGTTTCTCTGACTCCAGCGCATTTTTTAGTAGGTTCTTCGCTACTGGCCTACCCTGAGCCCTACTGTGAGAAGCCAACTTCGTCAAACAGAGTCAGCCGTTGGAGACTACTGTCTAACCTCAGAGACTCCCTTTAGGCCAGGTGGAAAAAGGAGGTGCTGCATCACATGCAGCTTCGCAACAAGTTGCTGAAGCCCCAGCCAAATCTACTGGTTGGTGACATCGTTCTCTTAAAGGAGGACTATATTCCGCCAAGCCATTGGCCATTGGGTTGGGTGACGATAACTCACAAAGGGGATGACAATTTGGTACGTGCAGTAACTGTACAGACGGCCACATCCACCTTAAAGCGACCAGTGGTCAAATTGGTGAAACTACCCACTGAATCGGAGCTTCAACGTTGTTATCAAGATCACTTCAAGAACCAAGCTAGTGACTAAGTGCAGTGAAGGTGACACTAACAGTTGACATATTAAAAGTTCTATAGTTTACATTGTTTTTCATGATTCTGACCGTTAGTTTTTTCTACTAATTAGATGTTATTCGTAACTCTTCCCTTAATCATTCTGGATTGAACATTTTTTTACATTTAAAGATTCAAATTTGACCTATTATTTCTATTTGCGATTGCTTATCTTTAGTATTTTTGCCTGCCAAAGGACTTTTCAACTATTAAGTTTACGTAAAATCTAGACAATTTCCTTTGTTTTCTTATAAGCGAGTTTGCTTCTTTTGAGTTGATTCCTCTTGTTTTTGACCCAAGCGGCGTCAAGGCGGGCGGCTATAGTCACGTGAGAATAGGATTGTAACGCCAAGCCGACGGTGAGCCCAAGCAGCGGCGCTATTACATTCCTCCGCCCGTGGAGCGGCGGTGGGGAGCTCTCGTGGGTATTACGAATGTAGTGGTTTGCTTACTACAGTTTCTATTTCCAAGTTCCACAGTCCAAACACATATGCTCTTATGAGGGTATCCCCGCCCCGGCTCCTCGAGCGCTCAGGCTTCTCAATGCAACGAGGCCCCGCGCTTGCTCTCTTCGCCTACTGACTGGTGTGCGAGTAACACGTGCGGGAGAGCCTGTTTTCTGCTGCTGAGTCGGGACAGTTTTTCAAGCACATCATGCTATTCAATAATTATTTGCTGCCTCTCTACTTTTGCTGCTTGGGATGTAATTCTTCTCATCCTCGGCTTGGTGAGCCTGGTTTTACATTCAAGACAGTTCCTTTCTATTAAAATAGAAAATCAGCGTTTTCTAGTTGTATTTAAACATCAATGTTCTTTCTTTCGCGCAACTTGACAATATTAAAGCAATGTAAATCGTATTTCTTTTGAATAAATGTAGTTAAATTCTTTTTCTAAAATTATAGTTGTTTGTTGATTTAAGATACGCATCCGACTTCTTATGTCGTCATTGCTTCCCTTTGGATAACCATTCATACCACAATACTAATTAAGTCGTAATCCTGCTGACGCTCTCTACTCGAGACGTTCTTCAATAAGGTTCGAGTGAGCTAAGCAGTTCAATCAAACATGTGGTAAACGACATTATTTTTATCGAGTGGCTTGGTTACATCTTTTTCAAGTGAAAAGATTGAATTCAATTTATTGTGTAAACTGTATATAAGACCAATGCAAAGCTTCTTACAAAAATATTTAATAGGACCGTGCAAGTGGGGAATATACGGTAAAGATAAAATTAGCTTATGATTATTATTGTTTCTATTGCAAATGTTAGTCAAGTTCATGTTTTCTAAGGTATTTATTCTTTTGTTCAAAAATTTATCAATAAATCTTTGAGGATAGTTATTAGCTAGTAAAAATTTATTGATTAATTTTAAATTATTGTTTGAAATTTTTAAGTTTTTATATTAAATCATACATTTCTTATTTTAAAAAAGAGTGTTTAGGAATTAGCACGTAAAGCGTGCAGGAGGGTGAAGCCCCACTTATATATAAATATATGGTACATTCTGCCATTAATAGTCAATTTTATGCCCAGAGCTCATACTACTACAAGGAATTAAGTTTAAATGTTTAAATTACGGCAAGTAATGTTGAAAGTGTTAAGCTTTCTTAAACAAATATTTTATGCTGATACATTGGCTCCTTAGTAAAATAATCGAGAAAATATAGTCAAAATGTCACTTCCGTACCCGGTCCCATTCTTAATTTTGAATCTAAAAGCTCATACTTGGACAGAAAATAAGCCTTGACTCTATATCCTAGCGCATAAATCGTCAAATTTGAACGTCGCGTCGTATGTTACATTTATGCTGTTGTAACATTTATTTTTCATCTATAAGCAAGAGATTGTATCAAGTACGAAATATCTCACAATTTGAATCAAAATGTCGGTTATAGAAGAAGTCACTTTAAAAACCGCAATGTTGCATTTCGTAACACTTTTTCATAGTTTCTATTCTAGTCTCATATTATAATAAGACAATCGCACAACCCAAAGCTGTCAAATATTCTAACCTCAGTTATTGACACATATTTTTATTTTTTATTTTCGTGTTGACAAAAATTTAGGTCACTTCCGACCCTATATAGACACACCACTATGTTACTCGTTCAAGTAAGGAACATTTGTTTTCTTGTACTATTTATTAAAGACAGATAATTTGTAAGCAAAAAACCGTTTATGAACGCTGCCTTCGAACTGCAATAGTACTCGAAGTGTCACTTCTGTACCTGTCATTTTCGTACCCCTTAATAGTAAAAGTGTCTTTTTTTCTAACTTTCGTGCACCAGAACTCCACGAAACTTTTTCTTCAGTAATTTTAAGATAAAATATGAGACATGTGTCTCGGCATTTGGTCTAATTGTCCTTTTTTCGTGAGATACATCGATGGATATATATTCTACTTCCGAGACTAGTACCGAAGAAGTACACTATTTAAACTGGTCCTAAACAGGCTCAAATAAATGCTGAAATAAAGCTCTATTGATTAAAAACAAATTAAGTACTATCAATTAAAAGTTATAGGGATCTTATTTTTAATCACGAATTTTTGGCAAAAGTCTATGAAACCTCATCTTTGTGATATTTTATCGTTTTTTTTTAAACAGCTACAACTTTTAAAAGGAGGCACTAAATAAAACGAGGTTTTTCTTTAATTAAAAGAGTTTAATTCCAACTCTGATTTGATCTGAGTTAAAACACTTAAACTACATAAACACCTTAGCTACACATGTCGGAAGCAGGCATATTTTGACAATAATTGACTAAAATTGACTAACATAAAATACCGTACATCTTTTGACTCAAAATTTTTATAGTAGAATCACTCTAGATGTATGTTGTGGATAGTATTTTAAGTACAACTACTATGAAAAATAATTTATTTAACCAACTTGTTTTTACGATTCTTCAAAGCATTTTAAGCCACTTGTAGCAGAATTACCTATATATACATATATTTTAAAAAATAGGTTATTTCTTATTATTTCATCTTAAAATACTATTAAAGTTCTTTAATTGAACATCTTAATTTTCCGGTGATCCTACATGCAGGGAAAAATTAATAATCTAATAATAAGCTAATTCTACGTTTAGGAAGTAAATAAACTAAAGACGTTACTCAAACCAGGTGTGGTCCTTTTGTAATGTCAAATAAATCCCTGTTTCTATGAGATTTTCATAAAAAATTTACGAAAAGATTTAGCTTTTAACGTAGGATCGTAGGCTCTCATAGCTGACGCTATGAGTCATTATCATTATTTTAGAAAAATAATGTATAAATGAGGTATGGAAGTAACAAAATGCACCAAAGAGTCTTCTACCACTGTGCATTGTGCTACAACAGTACTTTGAATAAAAGCATTATTTTTACACACTATAAAAAGGTACAATCTGAAACGTTAAAACCTTACTGCACACTATATTCCGTATTAATAGATGTAAAGTTACAGAAATTATATGCTGCACAGTCCATTCCAGCTTATAATTATGTATTTTAACGTGCTTTTGTCTAATGTTATGCGAGTAGATAATCAGTTTTCGATACTTTATTTTAATGAATAAATTTGGATTACAATGACCACTACGGAGACGTGAATACAAAGTGCATTGATACTGCACATCTGCCTGAAATTGACTATACTTATAATCACTAATGTGAATTTATTTTGTTATGTAATTTCAAACTTCTCAAACAAAATCAATTTCCTTACAGTTATGTTGTTTTCATAACATTATTATTTGATTAAAGAATGGTATCGACTTATCTTGTACATCATGGATATTGTGCTACTGCTGAGGCTTTTGCCAATAGTACAAATCAAATATTTGAAGAGGACATTGAATCGATAAAAAATAGGCAAAGTAAGTTGTACACTTATTTTAATATATTTTTTCAATAAATTGTGCATGATTCTTATACTTTATGTAAATGTTTGTCGATCTGAAAGGTCTTATTAGGCTTGGAGATAATTACTTAATTATTAAAACTGACACATTTTGTTAGGTAATTATTATACTATTGGATTATTACAGTAATAGGTTTTGTTTATTACAAGATTTTACATGTTCTACCGAGAAAAATCCAAGTCTCTCGAATCTGACTGAAGCCATTTACAGCTCTCTTGAGAACTCGAGATAAAACATTTTTTAGTATTCTCAATAATTGTTAGTCGAAATTTTTCAAATTCTTAACCCATATGATGTAAGAGAAAACGTCCTGTATGTTAGGAGGAGCGGGGACTGTAATGCTTTTTTGACTGTAAGAGTAGTACAGGAAGATGTATATATATTCACATACACGTAAATTATAAGTATAAAGATAATATATTTATTATTACTGTTATTTTGAGTTTCAGTAGTATAAGTTTAAGTCTGAGGTATCCATAGTACAAGTGACATGTAGATTTATTTATATTTACTTACATACATTGATGTTTGGTATATTACTAATGAATTACAAAAGTTCTTCCTACTCCTTTATTATTCTCTTTGTAAAATCTAAACTCACAGATCTGAAGACTGTTGTGAGTTTTATTTTTCTTGATCATTGACAAAGAGTTGCATTTTAAAATTCTGAATTGAAGCTCGAAGATCTGCTTGCCTTAATTTTTTTCCGAAAAACAGTCACTTGTTCGAATTTTACGGTTCTACTTGAAGACCTCTGACTTCGTTGTCTGCAGGTTAGTATACATAGACAATAAGCTTTCTGCATTACTACTTGTAGATAGTGAGAATGTCTCACTTTTTGGTTCATTGTTTAGCGCAGATTCTGTTTAACAGATTTGTCTTAATTGGTTGAACATTTTAGATCACTATTTTGCAATGTATTCTTTCGAAATTTAGATACATAATTTATTTTTGCGACAGTTGCTCTTGGCCATATCTTATACAAACTAATGGTCAACAGTTTTAAATGGGCAAAATAATCAAAAACATATAACCCTTTTTTAATCTTATGGTAACAGACACATAATATTTTTTGTTTTTCAAACGTCTTTTTTTAATCTAATGTTTACCAAATTCTGCGGTAAATGGATTATTAGCATAGATGGCAGTAATATTAAGATTGGTATAGTCATAAAAATTAAAAACTGTAAATTTCTCCAATGCTTTTTTTACTTTCTTGTTATTCAATGACTCTACATGTATGATATTCTACGCCAACTTTTGTTTTGAGTTTCATTTAGGTCTTGGAGCTGAAATCTATTAGTGAGCCAGAAATTGAAATATGATTAAATTGTTATTAAATTATGAGCCAATATGTCTAGTTTCTGCGGTGTGTGTAGCTGTAATGTTAAATTGTGTTTTGTCTTGATAGAGCTTTGCTATGGCGCTCCCGAAGTTTTTTTCTTTACGCCTGCATGAATTTTCTTCAAATCAACTTTATCCGTAAACATATCTTACTCTACGAAAACTCTGTATTTATTGTACACTGAATTGTTACCTTGTTTAGCCATTTGTTCTGATGGATTCTTGGATAGGTCTTCTTTTAAGATAATACTTTATTCATTCAATAGTTATTATTATTATTATTGGTATAATAATTAATTATAACTGCAATGATAGTTCAAATAAGTGTAAAAATGTAATTCATATTTTTTTTAACTTACGATTTTGTATTAACTTTATTCATCCCATTATTTCACGTGTTCTTATTTTTTATCTTCCCTCAAGTTACCATAAAAATATAGTTCCTGAATTTTTTTCGTAGTTTCATGAAACAAATTAAAGTTCAAGTGTATTTTATCGAGGTTGTTGTTTTGTGTTCAATAATTCAGGTTAATTCTAGAGATTTTTCAATGCATCCATCGATCATTTTTAATAGCCTTGTTCTTTTAAGTTTCTTTCGACGGTTGATATTTTTGAACCGTATAATATTTATTTAGCCTTCTTTGTATGATATAGTACAGAATGTTTCAAGTACTTGTTGATATTTAACGCATTTAAAATGGCTACTGGATATGTAAGAATTTTCATATACTTCATATCACATTTATAAGCACATATAAATAGAGGTACCGTACAAGCATTTTCAATAAAACACACTCAGCTAACCTATGTCCTTTAAAATGACAAATATTCTCAAGGCTGAAAATGGAAAGTCATCAGTTGTTTTTTTTTTTTTTTTTTTAAAGAAATTTTAAGGCATAAACAAGCCTAAAAAAAATCTTTCCTGAGTGTGGATAAAAAACAGAACCTTCTGTTAACTAAACAGCTGCTTTACAACTGAACTGCTGGAGGGATGTGTTCAAAAATACATCAACAATTGATTGCCTATCTGAAGTCATACTTTATATCTTCTTTACATAATTAATATAATCATTTATAAGCTGTGGCTCCTGATATTGTGAGCATAAGAATTTCACATTTTTTAGTGCAATAAGTTTCTTCAGAAGATTTCATAGAAAAATTAATTGATATTATTTAACTTACACCTCCAACAAATATTAAAGGGTTAAGGACGTGTCTCACACTCCTTTGTTAGATGCGTAATTAGCAGTTCGTACAACTACTTACGTTCTTGATTTTTTTATTTAGTGTTGAGGTCGTATTTTTATTATGATAATAATAATGTATTATTGAAAAATAATTTTAATGCTCTGTTGATAAATAGGAAATTAAATATGACTCTAATAAGTATTTAAGCAATACTGATGTATTCATCATCATATTAATTGGTGTATATAAATGGATGAACTTCTTAATAAACACTCTTGGACCACCCATCTTTTTTTCTTTTTTTTATAACAAACATTCTCAAGATTAAATATAAAATAAAATTAAAATCATCGTTTTTTTCAAGAAATTTTCTAAGCAATAACTAAGGATGAAAAAAATATCTTTCCAAAGTGCAGATCAAACACATCCCGTTTACGAGACAATTTGTACTATCGATTAAGCTACGGAGGAGCCGTAAACTCACTTTCATCGTACGTTCAGATAAGTTCTCATTTTTAGTTTTTGAGCTAACTCATCTCAAGCTCAACAATATAAGAAAATATTTCTAATGCTTTGTCAATAAAATAAATTTCACTGTTGAATTTTATTTAATCTTAATTAAACTCATTTTCTAAAGAAATTAAGCTTTAGGTAAGGCAACTCAAAAACTGATGATGGGAAGTTGTCTAAACGTACAATTCGAATGAATGCATGGCTCCTTGGTAGTTCAATAAGTAGAATAACTGTCTAATAAATGAGAGGTTATTTGTGTAATCCACACCCGGGAAAGATATTTTTCACTAGTAAGTTATTTATTGAAAAATTTTTTAAATTAGAAAATAATTACATTTTCATTGTAAACTTTGAGAATGTATGTTATCGTCTTATTAAGATGTGCCTTTATCTATATGTGCCAATTGATATTATGATAAATACATGAATATTGATTCTATATCTATTGAAGTCACATTAAATTTCTAAGAGTGCATTATTTTTAAAGTATGTGATAAGCTTAGATTTGTTTTGTATACTGTATCGCTTCAGTAAATTAATCTTGACAGATTGCTCGACATCTCGATAAATGAATTGCACTCGATTAAACTTTATTACATGAATAAATAAATTACATTTGATGTATAAATAAGTTTCACTTGATTAAATTATGTTTGATAAATCAATAGATAAAGAAATTATTCATAGTCAAATTATACTTTATAGTGCAACAGATGTATAGATTATACTTGATTAAACTCTATTTGATAAATCAATAGATAAATATATAATTCTTGATAGAGGCAGTACACTACTTAGTTAAAATATCCGTGCAGTACGTCGCGCGTCGTACAGTATTTTGAAAAAAGCTTTTAGTTTCCAATCTGTAAATTAAGATAGACGTTTGAATACGTGCTGACCATGTGTTTAAAGCTTCATAGATCGCTCAGATAATATTTTAACGCTCTCATGTGTCACTAAGCACAAAGTCTGCTGTGTTCAAGGATATAAGAGTCATTCAGTAAACACAGTAGACTTAATATGCACAGAATTAAACAACTTGTGTTATTGCTTTCTTATAAATAACTTTGGTCAGTTGTTAACTATTGGTTTTTACTTCTACGTGCCATAAGTCGCACGAATTGTCATTGCTCAAAGACGACTCTTGTTTCTTGAAAGTAGATGTATGAACATAAAAAAGGATAATTCTATTATTTATCTAACATATCAGAATAAGAAATAGAAATGTAAAACACAAAATCATGATACGCATTTTTTTACAATGAATTTAATTATAGAGTTGTATTATATCATGGCATGTAATAATATTGAATAATCACAAACTTTCTTGAAGTATGATGTCCGTTTAATCCAATTTGTATGATTTCAAAGATAGACATTGATTCAAGAAATTTATCTTTGTCAAATATTTAATACAATTAAATAATATAATATATTTGCAAACGAAATTTTCTTCATACTTGTTTTATTTTCATGCTTAATTTTCATTTTTGCATCTAGATAACTCAAAAAACAGTTGGGCTTTTACATAGAAAAGTAATATTTTCTTAATTTTAAATCTACGTTTTCTAAACTCCAGCTTAAAGAGTTATTTATTCTTGTTACAAGTTCCTAAGTAAAACTAAATTGGTAAACGAGTTGAATGGAAGGTTATAAAGATGCTTCCTTGTAGTCAGAGTTATAAAACCTCTGACTTTACTTTTTATCTGGTAATAACCTGTGCGTCGATAATATCTTTGCACATGAACAATTTAATAAGCCGCCTTATAAGGAGTGGCGTTAGCTTAGTGGTGAGCGTGCTTGTTACTGATATAACGCTGTTCTAGGGGTCGTGGGTTCGATTCCCGGTAAATGCAGATTTTTCAAAAACTGTTTTCATCGGGAACAGTTTCTATGTAACCCCGACTGTT